GTCCAGGTATTCATGAACTCAAAATAAGCTGATAGGGACACAGACTATTTATAAATTTGTACTTTCTTCCATTTTAGATGTCGTTATCACTTTAATCTTAGGCTTTTGCACATTTATATCCTATGTATATTTGCATATTTGTATCATTCATATTGCATATATTTGTCTCAGTTGAAATATTAAGACAACAGGTAAGGTGCAAGTTGTAAGTTTAAGGGGCCTGAGTGTTAGATACTAACAGATGTGAAAACCCAAGGCAAAATTATTTTCATGGTTTGTGTTACCTCCTGATTGTTGGTGAAAATTTAGTCATACTTCCTATTTTAATAAATTTGAAGGATATGTTTTAAATCCTTTTTTAATTCTGTGGTCACTTTGGGAGAAGATCAAAAGGAAGGAGCAAAGTTTCTCTAATCTTGACCTTTTTTTTTGTAGGTAGGTCTTGAGCTAGAAATTTGCAACTTGCACTGATAACATTCAGTGAGGGGTGCATGCAGTTTAATCTAAAGGTTAAATCTGATCTCAAAGTGACACTCAGACTATACTAGAAAGCGACAGATAATTTGTGGCATATTCCTGTAATGTGATCTGAAAGTTCTAAGGGGCAAGTTAATTTCACTTGAAGACAAACACTGCAAAATTCTTAGTGTTAGACTAAGCTACCTCAGATTTGAGTATTACAGGCTGCTTCATGTACATGTGGCTTGTCTCTCCCCATGCCTTCTGATGTTAGGGAAAGTAAGTGGAAAACTTTAGAACCCCTTAAAAAAAAATTACATGATTAATAACAGGAAGAATGTATTCTTGTTTTTTCTTTCTTGTGATTGTGTCTAACATATTTATAAGATGATTTCTTTGTTGCTTTGTATGTCCCTCCCCCATGGTATAACCCCTGCTTTCATTGTATTTGATGTTGGTATACTTTGTGGAGGAGAAGGGAAAAAACAAATCATTTAAATAGGGATACAAGTGAACCCATTGCAACAATGAGATGTACAAGTCATTATATTGAAAAACGAACTTTACAACTTGGGGGAGGGGAGAGTGGGGGGGGGAGGTGGGAAGGGATTGGAAGGGGAACAAAGGAGGAGGCAACAAGGCTTGATAAGAAATGTACTCATTACCTTGCCCGTGTAACTGTAACCCCTCTGTACAGTATTTTCACAATAAAAAAATTTAACCCAATTATTTTAATGGAGATTAAGCCAAAGTTTATAAAGGTGAACCAAAACCCCCTCATATTATAGAAGTTTTTTTTAACCAGAGGTGACATAAACAATATCAAGCCCCCCAAAAGTTAATGTGGTTACTATATTCAAAAGAAAGACATTTTTGGCAGTACTGGGGATGGAACTCAACTCCTTTTGCTCTACCACTTGAGCTATGACCCCCAGTCCTTTTGTTTTCAGTTTGTTCTTTTTTTTTTCAGAGATGTTTTCATACTTTTGCCCTGTACAGCCACAAACTTCAGTCTTCTTTCTTACCTTTGTTTCCAGAATAGCATGGATTACAGTCATGTTACACCACATTTTTTGAGATAAGGCCTCACAAAAATTTTTACCTGAGTTGTCCACAAACTACATTCTTCCTGTCTCTGCCTCCTGAGTAGCTGGCATTTCAGGTGTTTATCACCACACCAGGTCCCTCAAAAGAAAAATTAGCCATTGGGAAACATGAGGATCATAGAAGATGAATATTCTGGTTCTAAAGTTTGTGGCTGAATCTTATAAAAAGTTCTCTGGTTTGCAGTAACAATATGGAAGGTGGACCTGAGTTTATTTAGGCTGTACTAATACACATTGTTAATTTATCTGTTGAGTACCTTCCTTTTCCCATGTATTGTGCTTAATACTTGACATTCTGATCTCATAGTCCTTACATGTGGTAAGGACTCATAGTAAAGAATGCTTTGTTCCTTTTTACTAATGATAAAACCAAGACTTAGAGAATTGGTGAGTACTTAGAATTCACATTAAAAAAGCTGCTGCACCCAGCCTTCCATCCCAGATCTTTCTAATTGCAGATTTGGGACTGATTATATTCTGCAAATCAGTTTCTTACAGTAAGAGAGTTCTGATATTCTTAGACCTTTCTAGCTAATGGCCTGTAAGGAATGACCTACAGTGTCCAAAGTTTAATCCTCTGTTCTAAAAGATAATATAGCCTAGCATATTAAAAGAGTTCAAGTTAAAGTTTCTAAATAATTTAGCTTTGCAAAAAAGGGTGGAGAAAGAATTTTATGTTGGGAATTCAAATGTAATTCTAGGAAGATGGTGACTAGTAAGAATTACTGGTGGTGATATGACATTCCTGATTGAGGCTTTTAAAAAACAAGGACACTACAATCACTGGGAACTTGTATGAATCATTAACAAGTCAGATTGACTTTCTACTCCAGCTCTGTAGACTTTTAGATCCATGAAATTCAAAGTCATAGGGACTGACCTTGAACATAGCACCTCACAGGTTATCGTTCAATATCTTACAGACAAAGCACGATAAATAGGATTTGGGTTCTAGAATATACACTGAGCTGGATCAATATAACTGATTGGATTACTGCATTCAGTAGGTAACTGATGTTTAGCTAAGCATATTTCTGATGGCATTTGGCATGGTTCAGTCCTCTACCTTATGGTAATTTTATCAGAGGTCTATAGAGGATTCTGATTATCTAAAATTTTCATAAGAGAAAGAATGCATATATAATTAACACATGCCCAAATTAACAATATAAAATTCACATGAACAAGCTTTAATAAGCTTAAAAACTTAAAAGAGACAAGTGAAAATTTAAAGAAATATGATGAGGATTTAAATGCATTAGATTTTATTATTAGGCATTATTAACTGTTAAAATAAGAAATGTAGTTGTGTGAACCAAACTAAATGAGTACATTCTCTTTGCCTTTTCTTATCAGTTCCTTTGTACTAAAGCTATTACCCATATTTATAGAATCCTTATTTAGAATGATATAATTCAAAGATAAATTATACCTCCAGAGTACTTTTAATTAAAATGTCTTAGGTATATGTTTCAAAATTTGAAGTATAACTAAACAAACTTACCACATGGTCTTATTTTGATGTTTTCAGCCTAAACTTGAACTAGTACTTTTCTCTCTAAACTTGTTTTCATATTCTTTCTTTTGCAGGAAATATTTTGCGATTTTTTTTTAGATTTAGATTTAATTTGTTGGAATCAAATAATTGAGTCTCTTTTTTCTGGTAATATTTTTTCCCATTAACGTGGAGACTCACAGAATGTGAGGACTTGGTCAGTCTTCACTGTCACAGCTCCTGCACCTGGGACTGGAACTGACTGACACAGAGTAGTTGCTTCAGAACAAGTGGTTTTTTTTTCTTGCTTGCTATTGTTTTTAATGTACTTATAATGTACTATGTGATTTTTTTGTATCTTTGGTATGTTCCTCCCCCATGGTATAACCCGTTTTCACTGTATTTGATGTTGGTGCCCTGTGTCTTGTACATACACTTTTCTAATTTGGGGAGGGGAAGGGAAAAAACAAAATGCTTAAATAGGGATACAGGTTGACCCATTGTAACAGTGAGAGGTACAACACACTATGTGGCAAACAAACTTTACAACTTGGAGGGAGGGAGGGAGGAGGTGGGGAGGGAAGGGATGGTAGGGGAAAAACAAAGGAGGGGGTAACAATGCTCAACAGGAAATAGACTCATTACCTTACTCATGTAACTGTAACCCCTCTGTACACTATTTTTACAATAAAAATATTTTTAAAAAGAAATAATTGTAAAAGGAAAATAGTATCTTGGAAGATTTTGACTAAGTTCATATGCCAGATAGTAATTCCATGTGTTGCACTTTGCTGCTAGCCCTTGTGATTATCAGTGGATGGTTTGACCTTCTTCAAGAGTGATAATTAATTATAAAAAAAAAAGTGATCATTACTGAGTAGGTCTAGTGAACATGCAAAACAAGACAAAACAAAAAACTAAGACTGAAGTGTACCTGATACCCACTGTTAATAATGCTCATTATTTAACAACTAAACACAGGAAAGACTTAGTAGTCAAATGCGGTAAAATAATTAAAGTATTGACAATAATTAGTAATCACTGGCCAGTTTTTTGACCATCAATGAAGAGACACGTGCTTAGCTGGCAAAGTATTATAGGAGCCAGAATAGCCAAGTCCTAAATCTATCATCGAAATACTTAAGTTCAAATCCTGATTCTGTCACTTAATACTTGTCTGACCTTCAAAAAGTGACATTAATGACTATAAGTCTGTTTCTCCATCTGTAAAGTGAGCTAAGAATAGTAATTCATAAGAATGGTGTGAGGGAGTAAAAGACACACAGATAAAGAGATTCAGAATCAAGTACACTATAAAAAATAATAAAATCAAGCTGTTACTGATTTAAAGCTGTTTTAATAAAGCACAGAATATATTATTATTATCATCATCATATCTATAGAAAATCAAAATGTCATCTCAGAAAGGATAACCATTCTAAGCCACTGGCAGAAAATTGGAAACCAGTACTAGAACTCAAGTGCCCCAACTTGGACTCTATTTGCATTCTATCTATGCTTCTTTAACATAATATGAAAAGATTGCTAGACTAGGGTTGAACTGCCAGCCATAGTACCGCCTGATTGGCCTTTCAGAAAGAAAAAAGCAGCAAATGAATAAAATAAGGAATACAGAATGGGGGGAAAATGCGGTGGTCTTACTGCATATGTGCATAGAATGCCAAGTGTTGTACCTGCTGTTGAATACCAGGGAAAAGAGCTTTGTATTATAAATACTTTGTGACTTTTATTTTAAAAATCAAGAATGGTTTATCTGCTTCAGTGTATTTTGACATCATTCACAGGGAGAATTCTAGTTAGATAGATAAGCATATAAGATTTCAACAGGCTTTAAATATTTAGTGCTGCTTCTGGTGATGGTAGTTCCTTGCATTATGTGCTGTCATTATGTTTGAGCCTTTTTTGTTCTGTTTCCATAGAATGCTGAAATTTCTGTTTTTGAAGTGAATATACGCTTTGTTGGTGGACTGCTCTCAGCCTACTATCTATCTGGAGAAGAGGTAAGATGAGAAGTTAACTATACATGTGAATTATAAAGTGTCTTGAAATTACACTCTTTTGTAAGATAGGCCTTTTGTGGAATATACTTAGAAGGAACTCATTACATTTTTCATAGATTGATGGACCAGTAGCTTACATTGAGTTTTTCATACGGCGTTCTAGTGACATACCCCAGCTGGGAAGTGTGAAGGTACATATTGTTAGGGTTGTTAAGTAATGCCTTTTTTGCAAATCCTGGCTCTATTCTGGTATGAATATAAATGAATATAACTATAAATTATGTATTCCTATGGGCAAATTAAAGAGATTTGGTTGTAGCAGCAGGCTTGTGGATGGGTTTCTTCTTTTAAAAATTAATTTAATGTTAATATAATCTTAGCATAATAAAAACTTTCAAAATGAATTTTCTTATGGAAAATAAGATATAAAAGTACAGTACTTTATAGCATTGGGAATGGTGCGACTTTGGGCTTTCCAGAACACAGTTCTCTACAGGCAATATTCCTATCTAAAATACTTCATTCTTTTCCTGAGACAAGGCCTAATTCATTATCTGCTGCATGGAGCAGAGTAGGAATTGTTAATTTAACTCTATTCTATGGTAGATTAAGAAAAGATTTTTGTATCATGATCATAAAGGGCACTCTCACTATATTTTTTGAAAGAGTTGGGACAACTTTATGAGTTACATTAATTGACTTCAGAGAGTCACTGGAATGCACTTCACCTTTAATATTGACAGTGTTGAAAGTTGATATGAAGGAAAACAGTCACATATTTCAATTACATGTCAGTCAGATTTGTGTTAGGCTCTGCACCCTGTCTAGTGGCAGAGTAGATCTTAACTGGTATAGTATTTCATATTTCCTGGCTTCAAACAGATTTGAGCCGAGTAATAAATGTTTAATGAGAAAAGCTGTTTGACTTTGTTCCTGTCTCTCATACACTTTCCTAATCATAACAAAACATCCTTCACATTCTTACACCACTTTCTTGATTTACATTTTATGCTACCATGTACGTTCTCAAAGTATATACATGGCTTCAGTATTCCCCTATGTCATCCTGTCTTAAGCATTTTATTCTGTTCTTCATTATGAATTCTGTTTCCTTGGAGCCAGGGTAATTGGAACTCTGGTATATTATGCCTCTTCTGCACTTTTTCCAGTTTTGTTAGTCCCAAATAACTTGGTTCAATTCTGGACAAACGTTAGCATTCCTAATTATTAAGCCAAAGAATCTATATTTTTTAAAGTCATGCTTAAATTAATATTATTCTAGTTTCTCCCTTTAAAGTTTTTGTTTCTGAGTATCCTTTGGCTTGATGCTATCATTTTATATGACTTTCTAGTATTACCTTGGTTTGAATTTTCTCCATAATCTGTGTGTAGGTGAGACATTTGAAGGAAATAGGGAATATACTCTTTTGTGTCTGAGCACTATTAGGACCAGGACACACAGAAAGAAACAGATACCTATTTCTTCTAATACATCATATTTAATTAGGTGAGTTCTTTTTTTTTGCTTATAATGTTTAAGTTTATATACAAATATGTGTTTCTATTTAGTTTCATACTTACTCTTATATATTTATATGGTTCCCTAAATATAATGTTCATAGACACTATATTTTGTCTATAGTCAGAATAATCTGCTTAATTCTTTGTAAGAGACTTTTAATTCATTGCACCTCTTAACAATATCTATCTGTATCACTGTGTAAAAATTGTTTTATTATAGATAAACTATAGTTTAACTTTTAGGAAAAGAGTTAAAGTATCTTCTTTCTTATAGGATTTTCTGTATTTCTGAATGGTACATTTTAATTTTAGTTCATAAGAATTCATCATTTTAGTCTATTTTTTCTTGACAATTTCCTGAATGTGAGAGTTTGGATTATTTCCACTATTCCTATATTTTGAATAATATAATCAGTCAATAAATTCAGTCAGTAAGTATTTATTTTCCAAAATAGCACTCACAAATGAGAGATGATGAGTACTAGATTGGCTTAACATCATCTCCTGCCTCTTTCTCTCTGACACTTCATCACCAACAAGAGCTTTATTTCTCCAGTGCATTTGGGAGAACTGACTTTCAGGAAAGTGATCAGGAAATACTATTTTACCCCAAGTCTGTGCTTCAGTTATTTGCTTCATGTCAAAATGAAAATATAACCAGTTGTTTAATAGAAAAACAACTTGGACAGAGTATTAATAACTTCATTTCAGATAGTAAGGTTCTCTAAAACACACTAACATACAGCAAAGAATTTACTGAGATAATCTACAAAAATTCATCTTCCTAAATTACCTCACAGAACAGCTACTCAACTGACATAATTTAGCACTCTGATTTCATCACTGAGGCTCAGGAGTATTTTAAGAAAATCTTACAAATCACCATCACAAGCATATAAATCCACACTGATAACATCTCAGAATTTGGAAATTTATATTGCAAAAGCAAAGGAAGTAGCGCCCTGAGATCTGTTTTGCCTGCTTCAGGAAGTTACAAGAAACAGAAAAAGAGTCAAGAATGCTAGAGGAATTCTAACCTATCAAAAGAATCATAGAAACATGAAATACCTGCACTTAGCTTTAAGACATAGATTAAAAAATGTAAAATGTCTAGCTAAGATATTTTGAAGAACCATTAAAATCTTGGGCCCCCAAATTTTCAAAGTCTCTATAATAAATTTAAACCAAAACATAATTACAAACAGATTTTATAGAGATAAGAGGAATACTAAATAGGTATAATCAGCATTAGGAATAACAGATAACATTGCATTGCTTATAATAAACTCAAAGAGAATGAAAATCCTTACAGTAGACAGTAAGTATAGAAGTTTCTAGAATATCATTACCCAAAAATGATGTACTTACTGGTTTCTTGTGATGTGGTAGGATAAATCTGTATCTCTTTGAGTACCAAAAGGCTATCTTCTATATTTTTTCTTAGAGATTCCCAATGCTTAGAGAAGGAAACTAATTTAATTGTATTTATCCTTGCACTTTACACATTTAATTAACTATAACTTTCCTATTTTTTAACTGCAACATCTGCTAGCCCTGAGTTGAAATTTCTCCCAGAACAGTTTTGGGGAAATAATACTATAGAATATGAGTAACCAAAGCAAAAATGGTGTTGAAAATTTGCAAGTAGAAATGAGTAAAATAAACTTAAGACATAGCAAGAAAAGAGCTCATATGAATATACCATACGATCTGAAAAGTAATTTAGTAAACCATAGTGATACTAATTCTCAGAATCAGGGAGAAGGCTAGGGAATCATCTGAAACAAAAAAAAATTCAGTTTGACAAAAGTGATCTCTATAGTTTGACTAACCATCTGAGATATCATAGAATTAGTAAGCACAGACTTTATTCTATTCTTGTCTAACTTAAAATACTCAGTCTCCCAGGAGGAGAACTGAGGGATAGAAAAGGAGATATGGCAGAAGGATAAGTTAGAATCATCCACAAGTAGGGGTTTAGTATCCCATAAAGAGTGAGTATAGGGAAGGTTAAAAATTCCTTTGCAACAATGAGATATACAAAAAGCTATGTTGAAAAACGAATTTTACAATTTAGGTTGGGGTGGGGTGGGGTGTAGTTGAGGAGGTGGGAGGGAAGGGATGGTAGGGGAAAAACAAAGGAGGAGGCAACAATGCTGGATAAGAAATGTACTCCATCAGAAAGAATGACATTGCCCCATTTGTTAAGAAATAGAAAGACTTGGGAAAAATTATATTAAGTGAAGTAAGCCAGGCTCAAAGAAACATAGGTCCCATGGTTTCATTAATTTGCAATAACTAGTATATGTCTGAGACAAGCAGAAATGGTCAGATAAGTTGATGTTAAGCGAAATGAACCCCAAGATAAGGATTCAAATGTTTTTCTCTTTCTTGCTATTGTTTCTAAAATATTTATAAGATATTTCTTTGTTGCTTTCTATGTCTCTCCCTCACGGTATAACCCCAGTTTCACTGTATATGATGTTGGTATAATTTGTGGAGGGGAAGGGAAAAAACAAATTGTTTAAATAGGGATACAGGTAGACCCATTGCAACAATGAGATGTACAAGATGTTATGTTGAAAATGAACTTTACAACTTTGGCAGGGGGGGGGGGAGGGGGAGGGGGGAGGAGAGGGAGGGAGGGAGGGATGGGAAGGGGTGGGAAGGGAAAACAAAGGAGGAGGAGGCAACAATACTTGATAAGAAATGCACTCATTACCTTGCCCATGTAATTGTAACCCCTCTCTACAGTATTTTCACAATTAAAAAAAAAGAATAACTAATGGAGGCATTTGCATATAAAGATAGTAAAGCAAAAAAAAAAGAAGAAAAAAACGAATGTACTCATTACTTTGCTCATGTAACTGTAATCCCTCTGTACAGTATTTTCACAATAAAAAACTTATTTAAAAAATTCCTGTATGGAAATTAAGGCCTGGTCAAAACCACGAGGAGAATAGATGTTTTTGGAGCCAAAATAAGATGTAAGTGTACTATGCACGGTGAATAATAAGGATTGCAGAGGAAGACAGCTTACCTTAACTTATTCCTATAATTCTAGCTACTTCAGAGACTGAGATTGGGAAGATGGCAGTTCCAAATCAATCTAATCAGAAAAATCTCTGAGACTATATCTCTATGGAAGAAACTGAGTATGGTGATACATATCTGTCCTGCAAAATATAGCAAGGAATGAAAACTAAGATGTTCACCATCCAGGCTGTTATCTGGGCAGAAAGTAAAACTGTTTCATGGTTTAGCCTAGTAAGTGCAAGCCTTGAGATCAAATCCCAATACTACCACAATAGCCAAGCACAAGGAAAACTGAAAAATCCAACCCTCCTACCAAGAGAGAACTATGTAGGAGGGTGAGGGTGAGAGATTAGGAGGGGAGAGATCAAGAGAATGAGATAAGAATGTGGGTTTTGAGATCTTTAGACATTTAATGTGTCTAGATGTTAAGAATAAATTTACAT